GCTGGTCTTGCATAGTGCTGAAGGAGAGGAAGTGCTGAATCAGTTCAGAGAGAGTGCCAGCGCCTGGCTATATCTCACTGCCCAGGCAGTTCTGCTGAGGCTCATAGGAGGAGTATGATTCCAACTATTGAATTAAATAAGGCCGCTTTTCCTTGTCCCCTGGTAAGTAAAGGCACCGCCTTGCCTCAAAAATGCTGCTAAGGTGGTCTGTCTGGGTCAAAACCCCTTTAGTAGGAATTTCTCTGTGGCATTTCTAGAGCTACAGCAAGGAAGGCATGTGCTCCAAATATAACTGTGCGCGCTTTTAACTCCCCTGGGGTGGTTGAAAGTGCTCCTGGGCTCCACTGAGCTTCTTGGGCTTGTCTCTTCCTTGATGGAGAACAAATATACACAGGGCAGTCACTCCCTATTGTCGTCCCCCTCCCACACAATTTGAGGTCCCACTGTGGGACATCATTTAGAGTAAATTAGAATAATAGAATGACATGTTGGTAATCTATGCTTTCCTTTTTGACACGAAAAATGGCATGGGGTTGTGTTTGGAGCCAAGAGAGGAGGCGGCGAGATGAGGGAAACACGCTGTTTATCCCGGGACTGACACATGGACAGGACTCGGGCAGTAACATTGACATGGCACCAGGTCAGAATACTTAAGGGAAGCAAGGCAGACCAGGTTCTTTGGGTAAATCTAATATCTTTTATTAGACTGATTCAAATAGTTGGAAAAATTCTTCTTTGCAAGCTTTTGGGTATGAATACCCTTTGTCAGGCTGAGGAAGCATCTGCATCAGTCCATGCTCTTCCTGGATGGAAGGAACAGTAAAGAAGATAGAGGCTGGTCTGCAGGCAAGAAAGACATGAGCGAAGCAGCAACACCTCTAGGTACGTGCTGCAGGTCTCTCTGTTTTCCCTTCTTACCAGGACAGACCAGTGAGCCCTCTACTGCCCAGTACCACTCAATGACATTGCAAAGAAATCCTTACCTCTCACACTTCAAAGAATTAACAGTATTACATTTACACTATCATCTCTGGACATCTGCCAGGGAGATGAATGGGGATCGTCTGTCGTCTACAGACTCACGCATAACATTTCCCTTAGTTCGTATTTCTGAGATATTTCTCTGTAACCACTTGAGTTCGTGACTCATTTAAAATAACGCAAGCTGCTAAATTGCAGAACGCAGCAGCAGCTTGCAAAAGATGTTATTCCACCACACCCCCTCGTGGTACATCGTACCTGACTCTGGTTACGGCAAGTCCGTTCCTGAGATAAGATTGTGAGGTTGTTTAGTGCCACAAGACAGGTAGTTGTGGAAGGAAAGGGGAAATCTCCTTTTCATCCCCCACTGCCAGGTGCAGGGTGTACGGCCTCATGGTATTAGGGTTTTTTGACTCTGTGATGTGATTTAACTCCAGGTAAATGGCAATGGATGGATGTGGACTCCTGATCATAAGGAATTAGGGGAGAGACAGCAGGGTTCCTCTAGAAAAAATAGAAAATAAGCTCAGGAATGTACTTGGTAGCCACGTTGGTCTGAGACAAAAAGAAATACAAAAACTTTACAGGAAATAAGCTGGCATTTATGTTTTGGGGTCATAACTAGCATACATGTCAGAGGTCACGCAGTCTGTATGGGCAACAAAGCAAGGATGTCACTTTGCTAAAAAAAATAATCCCTTCTCACAGGCTTGATGTTTAGACCCTAATTTTGCCTGATGCAAATCGTTTGGGATGCGGTTGTGGATCCACCACGCAGATCCCTGCCCTGGGGGGCTGGAATGAACCTGCAAAGCCAGGGAACCACCTGAGATGGGCCAGTGGTGCCCCCACAGGGTCACCTGGAAACCAGGCTGCAAACACGCTGGGGAAATCTGATCTGAAACTCCAGCTGCACTGCAAGCACACAGCGAGAAGGAGCAGCCCGGCTGCCTCAGTAAGGCCAGGCCTGGGCCCCACAGCACAAAGCACCCAAGGCGCAGCAACCCTCACGTGGCTGGGATAGAACGCGGCGGCTGAGCACACTGCGCACGCGCTGCGCCAAGCCCCGCCCGGCACACACAAAAGGGGCGGGGCCGCGCCGCCCCGCGCCGCAGGCCGGGCAGCTCTGGCGGGCACGTGGCGGTTGGGGAGGTCTCGTGAGACTACTGCTCGGCCACGTGACGCGGCCTCGTGGCGGGGCGGCCGTTGGTAAGCGGCCGTTGGGGGGAACGTTTCCTGGCCCCGCGGGGGGTGGTCGGGGCCGCTCGCGAGGGGCTGCGGGCGCCGGTGTCCGCTCATTCGTGTGGCCCCCAGCCCTCCAAGTGCGGCCGCGCCCGGGTTCGTCTGTAGGGTCTGGCCCGTCACGTCGTTCATTTTGGAGAAATGAGCAGGTCGTCCAACCCTCCGCGTGTTTCGTAGTGAGGTTCGCTGTGACTTGCCTCGCGTTATATTGGGAACGGCCCTTCGCTAACGCTAGATGGGGAATAACGTGTTTGGGTTTTTTTCTCTTTAACTGTAAAAATACTCTATTTTATTTTTGTGTAAGACTTGCCTCTTCTTGGTATTATGAAAGGAACGTCCCTTAGCTCACATCATATAGGGAATAAAATGGTTCTTTTAACTATAAAAATACTTGTTTTTTTTGGTAAGAAATCCCTCTTTTTGGTATTATAAAGGGAATGTCCTTTAGCTCACATCAGAAAACAGCCATTTTACTCCATATGTAATGTTAGCTAAGGGATGTTCCCTTTGTAATACTGAAAAGAGGGAATTCTTACCAAAAAACGTATTTTTACAGGTAAGAGAAAACAGCCATTTTCTTACCAAAAAAGCTATTTTTACAGGTAAGATATAGGGAATAAGTCCCTCTTTTTGGTATTATGAGGGGACCGCCCCTTCCCTCACATTATATAGGGAATAAAATGGCTCTTTTAACTATAAAAAATACTTGTTTTTTTTGGTAAGAAATCCCTCTTTGGTATTATAAATTACTCTGGGAAGCTCCGGTAGGTACAAAGCATAAGTGATTTGTGCAAATCATAAGCCTGGGGTGTCTGGACTTCAAAACTAGGTAGCGTTGGAGAAGTGTGTGCGATGCTAGCACGACACTTTAAACGTGCAGCGCTCGTTATCTTAATAACATGTAATCTTTGTGAACGGAGTACTTGTCTGTAAGGTGGTGATCTTGCAAAGCAAAAACGCTTCCTATCAAACACGGCTGGGTTCGGTAGAAGCTTCTGCAGCGAGGGAGTTGCTGTCCTCATTGAGGACTAAATGCATGGAAATGTATAGCTTAAAAAAAAAAATCAAAATTTTAAACCAAGCAAGTGTCCTGTTGACATATCGCAATAAAAAGCACGCTTACATGGAGGTATGGTTGCTTCAAGACTTTCCAGAGCATTTTGGGTAGGGATGCAACCATGTAAAACTCTTAATCCCAAATATGATTGTTTCTGAAACAAAACGCCTCAAAAAAAAAAACAAAACAAAAAAAAAACCAAAACTAGTTAAAGTGTCCCGTGTAGCAATAAGTTTAGGCTATTTGTAATGTTACAACAAAGTCATGTCTTGTACAGTAGGTTCCTTGATGCTTGCTGGTTTTCTGCACCTGTGGAGTTGTCACAGCGAATGATGCTTTTGGTCCTGTATTAAAACTGGATTTGCTTAAGGGCAAGAAGATCTATTTTTTAGTCTGGCGTTCATTTAGCTACTTTTTGACCTATTGACACTAGGTTTTGCATAATATAATTTTTATTTTTGATACTAAATATTTCTTGGAAGTTTCATACTTGAATTAGAGGCCGTGTTGTGAGAGAGAAACGAATGGTTTTGTACATGTTATCCACAACTCTGTGCCTCTTGGACTCATTCACGTAATTGAGATCTTTAATTGTTGGCTTATCAGCCCGTCACAGAGCTTAGTTTACTCACTTTAGGTAGCATGTTTAATGTTGCTTTAGGAAAGATGAGCTAAAATAGTTTGGGCAGAAAGTAGTCGAGCAGCTGTTGCTCAGAAAATCATTCCTTTGAAGTCCAAATAAGAAGTTTGCGTTATAGTATTCATTGGTACTCACTTGCTTCTATTGTGATACTTTTTGGAAATCAGTAAATAATTTAACGAAGGGGTGTCAGGTTTGTTTGGCTTCCATCCCCAGACCAGATATGGACTGTGGGAATCCCTGTGGGCCAGATCCAGACTCTCCTCCAGATTTAGGGTGAGCAGTAGTGGCATTAGTCCCTGCAGGTGTCTTGATCAGCTGCTGTGTTGGCTCAGGGAGCCATAACACTGCTGTTGCTCACTTCCTCATTGCCAGACTGGCAGTGGGACTCAGTGCCTGGGAACTGGGTGGTGGGGCAAAAGTGGGCCCCACCGACCCCTCTGTCAGCTCAGGGAGCTGCAAGAATTAACATTGCTGCAGCTGCTTGCCCTGCTCCTGATTCCTGGTCCCCACAGGAGCCCTGTAGGCTGTGTCTTACACTTGTAATTTACCACTCATAGTAACAGCACAGTACTTCTTTGCTGCACAGTTGTAGTGAACAGGAGCTTCTGGAAAGCAAATGCCAAAAATCCCTCTTAAACCAGAGGCTTGGATTGTTCCTTCTCCCGATAGCCTTCCCCAAATCTAAACTGGATGTTTTCTCAACTTACAACGTTTGAAAACCCCTCTCTGGCTTGTGAATAGGAGGGTGCAACATCTATTACATTAGGAAACCTTGTGCCTTTGAGCTCTCTGTAACTTAACAATGAGAGACTGCTGACTTCTGTCCAGTGTTGCTACTCATTTTAGACTGCTTTGTTTAGTAAAGTGGCTGAAATGGTAAGTAAGAAAAATAAATCGCTGTTTATATTTTAGGATAATAATTCATGGACTATTTTTATCATTAGGCTAATAATATTAAAATGTTTTTATAGCAAAGCTGTATCTAAATATTTTAGAGTTGAATGCCATATCCAGTAAAAACATAGTTCTAACTCTCTCTCTCTCTCTCTCTCCAGGTTTATGTAGTTAAGACTCTTGTGATATCAAGGAAGAATTTGGGGTAGATGTTTACAAGATGGCTCAACGGTTTCACAAAAAAAGCCAGGAGAACAAAATGCCAACTGAATCTTTAAGAAGCCCTTTCACTTATCCCAACTTCTTGTTGAAAAGCCCTGGCCTTGGAGGTAGCTACAGGTTACCCAACAGCAACTTCTTCTTTTGTGAGCAAACCAAACAGTTCTTTGCTTGTCAGAACAGCCCAGGAAGTGCTAGCACTACTTCCACCATTGAAATGGTAAACAGCTTTAAACAGAAAGAGATTGGATCAGAAATAAGTGGCAGAATGCAAACAGGTGATGGAGCATACCCTGTCTTAAAATGGTTTCTGCACCTATTTTTGTATCTGTGTATCACACATGTAGTTGAACTTTCAATCTAATATGAAATTATACCACTCTGAATAAAACTGACATGAATAGCTGGTGAAAGGGTAATGCTGTATGCATGTATGTATATATAGACATACAAGATCTTGCACGTGAATGTCCAATCAAGGAAAAAGCTTGTTAACCTACCATAACATTTAATACAGTCACTTCAGATTTTATTTTTAATCACATTTTTTTTTATTTTTAAATGCTTGTTAGGTCTTCCATAGAAGTAACAAGGGTAACTGACATTGTACAGTCAACAGTATTATAAGCAAACTCTCAAACTCTAAAATCAATTATTTTTTATAAGCCAGTTAGCTGTCACGAATGACAGTCTTTCAGAGAGTGTCTCATAGCCGCCCCCCCCCCCCCCCCGGCCGATGCCCAGCCCTGACAACAGCCACCACTGTGACCCTGCCCCACTTTGCCTACACCCTTCCTGGTCCCCTCCGTGCTGGCTGTTCTGGGGGGTGCTTCCACCATGACCCTCCACCCCCTCCCCTTCACACTCAGGCAGGGAGATGGAGGAAAGCCCTGCTGCTTGGGCAGCTGAGGCATTTGCCGTTGCCACAAACTTCCCCAGCAGTGGTGCAAAGTGGGGCCCACACAGCCAATTGCTGCCTGCCCTCTTGGTGGCATGTGCACAGTTGGCCAAAAGCGTTATGGACAGACAGACAGACTAAGCCCTTTATTATAATAGAATTGAGTTAAGAAATATATTGGGTGTTACTTCCTGATGATAGTAGAAGAGTTGGACCAGTTTGACATTTATGACCTTTTCATCTTTAAGTTTTGTGAGATCAGATTCCCCTCCCCCTTTTTTGATTCACATCTGTGTTTTTAATGCATATGATTCCTATTCTGTGCCATTTGCTGGGTGCATGGTGTACTTGTTTTGGTTCTATTTATTTGTTGAGCATCTTGTATTACATAATATAATTGTCATGTCATAGCACAGTGACATGGAGGTTTTAATATCCATTGTGATGGCTGACTTGCATTAAATTGCAGAAGCAAAAGAAGTGGCTGTCACTTAAATTTCATATTACTTGTTCTGTAGCTTGACTGTTAAAACTGTTTCTGTTAGTATAATGAAATTATAATATCAAATGAACTCTTCTCTTTTTAGGAAATTCAGTGGGAACCACTAGCAGCAAAAATAGTCTGGTACCTTCAGCAGGGAAGGTAAAATCAGTGAGTTATTAACTCTTTACACCAAATATTTTGAATTTCACAAACCAATAAATGAGCAGTGTGTATTCCCCTTCCCCCCCTGCTTTCTAGAGTTTCTGTGATTTTTGCTCTATTTTCTGCTTTGCTGTATGAAATTGACCATTGATTCCCCACAGTTACTTGTAGACAATGTTACTTAGAAAAATATACACAGAGTATATTTGTGTATATATACACAATATATCATTATCATCATTATCATCATTATCATTTGTGTATATATACACAATTATCATTGTGTATATTAGAATATAAATTTCTAATTATCATTGATAATTAGAAATTTAAAGAGACTGAATATTTAACTTGCTTGTTTAAAAAAAGCAAACTACTTTGTGGTTCAGCACTGTCTTCATTGTAATTACAAAAAGTATATAAATGATTAAAATCTCATATTTTTTTCTGATGTCTTGAATAAATTTTAGTTCTAAATTCCTTTTATTTTAAAGGTGGTGTTAGTAATATGTTAACAGCAAGAAACATAATTTAAAATAGGCAAAAACTTGAGGGATGTGCTTAATTTCCTTTGCCATCAGTATTTTTCATATGTAGCTTTCCTAAAGTTCTTTTGATGTTACAATTGGACAAAGATGAAAACTTTCTTAAAAAGTTTTGCTTAAAGGCCCCCCTCTTTTCCTGTAGGTCTTTGTATTGATTACTGGCTAATGGTGTGAAACATGTGGCTGAAGTTCAGTTTTTGAGCCTGCAATTGTTGCACACCCTGAAATAATATTATAATACGTGGAGATTCTTATGTTTTGGGGGTGATGCAGTGTAGGGAGACAGGTGCCTTGGCTGTTCAATCTTGAACTTCATCTAGGTGGCTGGTTCACAATCCAGATGGGTAGTAAGCAAATATTTAGCACTTAGCTTTTCAGTTAGATGCACATTCAGCTGTTCAAATATTGGAAAAAAAGCTGACATAGTGGAAGTTGAAAAGGGATCTGATTTAAAAAAAAAATATATACATGCCTATTAAGCAGTTGCAACGCACAAGGGCAGCAGTGATTTTTCAGGTATTGCCAGTGCAATATTGTGGCAGAGGCTTTTTTCTGTTCCTTTCCATCCCCTCAAGTTGGGGCAGCTGCTCCAGTTATCTTGCCTTAAACTGGGCAATGGCTGGGCTGTACCTACCAAAGCTTACTTTTTGTCAGATGCTGTGAAGTAGGCTGTAGCCCACGAAAGCTCATGACTCTGAACAAATCTGTAAGGTGCCACCCTGCCCTGTCTTCTGCCTGACTTCGGACTAACATGGCTGGCTAGCTTTCTTATTTAGACTGTTCACAATGTAGTGAGACGCAGTGCTTTAACTAGGTTAATTTAAAAACAAACTTGGTTAAATTGGTATAAAAACTATGTATAAGCTATACCTTGCTACAGTATAGTAGGATATTCAGTTTTCAATGCCAAGCTGTTTTTAAGATCCCTTTCAAAAGTGAGATCCAAGGCTCATGTTTTTTTCTGTAATAAATGTTGTGTAGCTAATTGCCAAAGCAAATGAATTCACCCCCTTCAGACTCCTACAGTTGATAGTTGTTCAGGATGGAATTTCAGAACTTCTGTGCCAATGGTTCTCCACCAAGGTGCCATGAGATCCTTTTGGAAGGTGCTACACACAATATTAGCGCTGTTAGGCGTGCACACACCTATATGAGATTCACAAGATAAACCCAGAAAATTCAAATGGGAATCCATAGTGTCAAAAACATTCTGACATGTTGGGGTCTTTCTGAGTTTTTGCAACAGAAGAATTTGTTCCATTATTTTTCTGTAGTCAATAAATAAATGAAAGCTAAGCATTTTTTGAGGGGTGCCCTGAATCCAATAAGGTTGAAAATCACTCTTCTAGTGATATATGTATAAATTGTCAGTACCAGAGCACTTCGGTGAGTAAAAAGGTAATACTGCTAGATGACATCAAGAGCTGTGACTTCAGTGGATTAGTGCACTCAGAAGCCACTCTGTTCTATATAGCCCTTGCTTTCTTTGCTTATTAAACAAATAAGAATGCTCTGTAGGAATTCCTGAATAACTGTGATCCAAAATTATATTTAACTGGAACAATTTGGCATTTAACTTTAACTTAACACTGCATTCTTTTTTTCTTTTTTATCTTTTAATGGTTCTAGATTCAAAATCTTCACCAGATAAAACTTGCTCTGTATTTAACACCATGTGGCAGTTGTCAAAGCAAGTAGGATGTGTTATGGGATTTGCAAAATTTTTAGCAATTTTGTTTTGGGATAAGCGTCTTCAACTGCATGTAACTTGTATTTGAATATTTCTAGTCCATATGATTTAAGCTTTTATTTAAAAACTACCATTTACATTTGTTTCCTTTTAGACTGTCAGTTCTGACTTCCATCGTGCAAAGCAGAAGTTACATAATTCCCCTGAGAATATTTTATCTGTAAACTGTGACTTGAAATTGCACCATCCATTGGTGCGATTCCCTCGGATAACTACTTGCCATCATTGTGGTCTGTCTGGTAAGCCTTTTCTTGTTTCAAAGCCATAGCCATTCTTGAGTTTTGCACTAGTTTACAGTGATATCGGATCGGCACTGATATTAAAAAAAAAAAAAAGTGTTAATATACTGGAAACCTGCCATATCAGTCCGATAATATCAGGCCAATAATTTGGCCAATAAATAATGTGTGCGTGTGTGCAGCTGTGGCACAGCACAGGTGGTGAGGAGACAGCCTGGCATTGTGGAGAGCTGCCTCCAGCTGGTAAGTCTGGTGGGGGTGGCAGGGAGACAGATCAAGGCCTCCATGGGGAGGGAGGCATGGGGCAGGGTTGCCTGGGTGGGTGCAGGACAGAGCTGCAGCTCATCCAGGGTTGTGGGAAGTACCTGCCACATGTTGCTCATCTGGGAGCTGCTGGTCCAGCGACTCATTTGGTGCTAGGCCGGTGGCTCCTGCTGCTGCTCCTGCCACTTGTCCAGAAGGGCACAGGAGGCGTGTGCCCTGGGATCTCCGTGGGGCAGGCTGGGGCCAGAGCTACACCAAGCTCTTCCTGGTGGGGTGGGGCTGTGCTGGGAGGCGCCTATGGCCAATTTGTGTCTGCCCCTGTAGCTCCCTCAGCACAGCCCTGCCCTACTGAGAAGAGCTTGGCGCAGCCCCGGTCCCAGCCCACCCTGCACAGATCTGGAGGCACACGCCCCACCCTGCGCCCTCCTGGATGAGGGGCGAAAGTCGCCAGATGAGCGGCGAGGGGTGGACGAGCCACCAGACCATAGATTCATAGATGTTAGGGTCGGAAGGGACCTCAATAGATCATCGAGTCCGACCCCCTGCCTAGGCAGGAAAGA